CCCATCACTATCAACAGCCCATTTCTGGCAAAGGGACAAAAGATCAATCTAGAATCGTTATATACATTGTTGAATTCACAGATATGAAGAAATATGTTCGAGATAAAAATTTCATGTGCAGTACCGTCACAAGGTTAACTGAAGAAACTTTGGCACCCAAGCACAATCCAGTTGACATACCACCACAACCAGAGAAAAGATCAAGTAATGCTAATTCTTCCTTGTCTGATTCAGAACTAGATATACTAGTCTGTAGGTCAATTTTGGGAGAGTCTCATGAGCAACGGTTGATTGTGCCTCGCCACACTTTACATCACTGTCTGAAGCAATATGCATATGGCTGTTAGATAAAGCGTAAGACATAAAATAAAATAATAAACACACACACACAAAAATTACATCAAAACATCTCAAATGGCATTATTTATAACAAACATATAAGCCACCGTTATTTTTAATCATATGGTTTACTTACAGCTAAAATTAACCATCAATAGCCCACCCCATACCACCAACATAAGCAATCCAAAATAGCATATGTAGAATTGTGACCAAAACTCAATTAGTTGCTTAAAATGAGCCAAGAAAACATGAAAATTTGAATGCACATGATGGTGTTTGAAACACTTCAACAAATGGCAAGACTCAGTATTGATCCTAAGAAAAATTCTGTATTTTGATCACATGTTTTCAGTGGTATTGAGCTCAGGATGTAGGGAATTAGGGATTTGACTCCTTCACAAACAAACTCGAGGGAAAAGGGGCACAGCAACACATGTGCTTCTCAATGGTCTAATAATGTCCAATGAGGTTAGAAGTTGACATTTTCAGTATTTCTTTTCAATGAATAAGGGGTGTTTTGTTATATGTCAAAGTCAAATTGCTAAAATTATAATAAGGCCTTACTTCAAGAGGGTGAAATACCAATAGCATCCTAGCCCACTCATGACTCACCTGTTGACATGGATCGAAATGTGGAGTAATCCACACAATACTCCATATCATAGTAGAAGAAGATGGTAAAATAGAAGTCAATTTCAAGCCAACCTACACAAGTCCCAAAAAAAAAAAAAAGAGGTTATTGCTATACACAAATATAGAACAATAAGCTTCATAGGTTACAAAGGAAAGTAGCAATTACATGTCAAGTCATGAGATCATAAAAAATTGTATGACAAAAACTAAAAAAGATTTGCCATACCCTGGGTTTAATGTATGTTACATTGGCTTTTGCAACAATGCAATCTATCAAGTTATCATTCATTATTGATGAATAGAATAAGCGTCTCTTGTCATGGAAAACCACCTTTGTCTTGGACAACCTGAATATCAAATAAAATCAGCAAATTATTTGGATCATTATGGCACAGCCAAGTCAATACCAAGACAAACTTACAGTATCTTCAATTCTGTAAAACCATTGGACTCGGAAAATAATTTTCTCCATCTGTTGTTTGGAAAAATTCAACAATCTTGCCAACATGATTTTGTTCACCTTCACCCTGTAAGGATCACTTCAAATATAAGGATGACTTGCATTGATACTAGGCGCATATGAAATAATATATCTTTTGTTCACCTTCGCCCCTTATAGAAGTAAATTGTAACTTATCTTTTATTTAAAAGCAAAGATGACAGGAAACAAGATACAATATATCAACTCATCCATGTACTTTCTAAAGATTAACTGTGACTAGAGGTTGTTAGAGGCACTAGTTCTTCATGACTGGCAAGTATGAAATTTAAGTTGAAAAAGTGACTCGCTAGTATAGTTGATGTATTCATTGTATTGGAACAACGTACAGTACATTATTTTCGTTCAAAATATTTCAAAAAAATGTCTCAAATCCTCCTTAAAACAATTGAATAGTCACCTTCACCAAGGATTTTGTGCCATATATCACTCATCCACCACATAAAGAATACTCTTTAGTACGTGAATTGAAAACCCAAAGGGTGAAGGCCAAGACTAGCTCCCAGAGGTTATACTATAAATCAGTAACTGCCTTCCAATTCAACCAAAAGCCCAAGAAGACTATCAAGAATCTCCAACTAAATCAAAGCAAGGAAAAATACAGTGAGAAAGGCATTTATTGGCTTTAGAATCAATAATAAAACTATTATAATTAAAGACATAAATTTAGATGACGCAAAATGTCACATCCAAAAAACATGGTAAAAGGGTTTTGATGTGGCTAAAAATGAACGAAAATTTAAAATACATTTAGTACAGGACAAGTGTATCCTCAAATAAAGAGTGCAGGAAATGAAGTTCAGTCAGATGATTTGTTGCTGGTTGCACAAGATCAAGTCAAGGAACCAATACATTTTCTTGGGAAAGGGGTTTCATAGAAGGATGTGAAGCCGTAGCAAATAAAAAGGGATAGATTGTATATGAAAGCTGGAACAGAAATATTATGAGTGATCTAACCTAATAAGAGTTAACGAAAGCAACTGAGACTAATACTTGAGTTAAGATTTGTATATTCGAGTTGCGGCTAATCTGGTCAAACCACATAATTGATCTTACCTATCAATGCCAACAGGAATGAACAGGGAAAAGATGAAAAAGAGAGTGTACGGTTTTTAGAATGATACACTTACTTTAATGAATGCACAATCACCAAGACTATAAACGTAATTCCCAATTCTGGCTTGGGCATAATGGTGATCCACATTGATGATGGTCTCATCTTCTTCATCTTCACTATGAAACCATCAATACCAAAAGAAACAGATAAAGAAAAGAAATTAAAATTTGAGTAATCTGAGAAAGGTAAGGTAACCAAAAAAAAAGGCATTATAGAGGAGAGTCTGTGAATTGATTAATACTCACTTTATTTTGGTTGTTTTACCTTTAAATTTTTTATCCTGCAAGTGACACATTCAGCACAAATATACATATATAAACAACACATTGATAACTTAATAGAAATTAAATTGGAATATTCTTGTCTATCGAGCACAAGATGAAAAGAGATACATGCGAAGAAATGCCATATAATGAAAAAGGAGTATGTTTCTAATTCTAATGGCAGGCAAATGATGTTAAAAGAACCAGGTCAACAACCTTCAATTCATAGCGCCATCCCCATAGTTTGAGAGCTTCATCATCAGGCATTGGATCACCAATGAAGGAAGCAATGCTGCAGTCATTCTTACTTTTATTTGGTAAAGAAGCAGAAGTCCTAAATTTTTTCCTCCGTGGGTTTTCATCTAACTCAGCCAACGCAAATGAGTCGCAAATTGATATGCAATTTACATCATCAGATGGGGGCATGCTTGACTCTGAAAACCAGCTCAAGCAATTTTTATTGGGAATGCTAGGAGTCAGACTAGTTTCCCCTGAGGTGGTTGCATTTTTTGAATGCTTTTCATTTGGTGAATTAGACAATTTGATAGAACCACATCTTGCACTTAAACCTCTCTTTTTTTGTTCAATTACTTTTGAGGTTTCCTGTTGTGGCAGAATTGTCTCTGAGGTTTCTTTCTTACTTGAAGATGAAAGTCTTGGAGATCTTCTAAAGGTCAACCCACCCAATAGTTTCACATCAAGGTTTTCCATAGATGCATCGCTACCATGCTGTCTTGTTGGTTGATTAAGTCTGGGGAACTTCAGCAAGTCCTCTGCACCAGAACAATTTAAATGACAATGTTTGAGAGACACATTCCCCTTATTACCGTTCTTGCTGCAGGAAACTAAATGGAAACTGGATTTATTGCTTGACACATCTCCAAGGTAGCCCTTTTCAGTTTCAGGGGACTTCAAGAACTTCTGTGGTGATATATTTGGGCATAATTTTTCAAAATCAGATGGCGTTGATGCGAATCTAGGAGATCTCCTCAAGAACCTTGCCCCATTTGCAGTTGTTTTTAGGTCTGCTAAGTCATCACTGCAAGAACAAGCAGGATTAATTGGTCTAGAATTAAAACAAGCAAGCCTGCTAGAACAGAAAAGTGAACTGCCAAACATGCTTTCCAGTTTTCACTCACTTCAATTGTAAATCTTGACTCCTACATCTTTGCCACTGCATAACTCAAGAATCAATACACAATATTGAGTATGGAAAGTGAATAAAACTGAAGATCTGTCAATGTAGAAATTTGGAGGAAAACAGAGCTGTAAATTGGGTGATCAAATTATAATGGATGGGACAAGAAAAAATAATTACATACTACGTGACCAAGTTTTTAAAAGCCAAAACACATAAAGTCAGGTAAAACACGTAAATTGAAGGAACGGCTGAAGCACTTCAGATTGAAAACATAGAAGTCAGGTAGAACAACACTGATAGAGAGGAGAAAAGCCAAAAAAACTAAAACTTATTACCAATTATTACCAAGTCATGGACACAGTGACACAGAACACAACGCTGATCATGTGACACACAACAGGCTCTAGACAGGATTCTTTTTTGAAAGTGTCCTTTATATAAAGAGGAAATTTTTGGGAGAGGCAAAATAAAAGAAGCCACTCCTAATTTGGAAAATAATTGACAGTATACATATACAAAAATAAGAGAAATATGTTTTTACTTTTTTTACATACGCAAAGCGTGCTGTAAAAAAATTTAAAAAAATAATAATAACAATAACTAAGTCGAAAGAGGACACTAAGTTTTTGTTTCATAGTCTGAAAGTAATCAAACACGATTATACCATTTATGCGTGAAGCGTACTCGTAGACGAAAACAGGCCCTTTTTTTTTTAATCAGTAAACAGACCTTATCTCTTTTACCCGAATCAAATAAAAATAACCAATTATCAATTAATCAAATAAAAATGTATCTATATATTTATATATATATATATATATAACATTATAAATAAAGGAAAAGAAATGCCCGATTTCCCTAAATAGAACGGTGAAAATGACCCAACAAGAAAAGAGGAAAATAAGAGAAATAGCAAAGCTAAAAAGCAAAATCTGTAATTTTGAGTGACACACCTCAAGAATGTCATAGTTAGATTTAGTTGCATGATTTTGAGAGCCAGTAACAATCGCCGGCGCTGAAAATCTCGGAGGCCGTCTCAGCGGCTTCTCACCCGACTTCGTCGACTGGAGCTTTCCCGAACGGCTCAGAGCCTTCGTGAAGGCAATTTTACCGGATGGGCCCAAATCAGAACCGACTAAGCCTGTCCGAACAGCTGCATTGTCTGGATTGAGCCTCGGAGATCTCCTCAAGTCATTTGCATGCTTTAATCGCACCTGCTTCAGCAGCTTTCTGGGGGTATTCCGACCCATCACACTGAGCTCTGAGGTATTCGGCGAGTCAGAAACAGATAATGTGTCAATTGGAGTGAACCTCGGCGACCTTCGTAATCTGAGCTGAACAGAACATTCAGGGGTAACGATCTTCAAGGGAAGCGGTTGGATGATACCGGTAAATTCAACAAGAGCGCGGGATTGAGATCGGGATTTGGATGTGGATGACGCAGAGTTAGATTTTCCAGAATGTCTCATTGATTGCGTGGACGGAGATGGAGTGAAATCAACGGAGGTCGCTGAGGTGCACGTTTCAGATCTCTGAGTTCCGACGCATTCCGGGTTTCCGACAAACTCAGCAACGCTCAGCCCCTCTCTCCTACTGACAAAGTAGAAAAAGCTCAATAGGGAGGAAGTAGCCAGAGTGCAAGTGCGCTGAGATGCAATTGTGTCGATTACTAGATTGGATGACACACTACCACGTGGACTCCCAAAAATGGAAAAACAACTGTGCAATTAAATCGTTGAATCTAGTTGACTGCTTGCAGTGTCTGGGTTAGTAATTAAAGGAACTTTCAGTATAAATAATTTTATAATATTTTTTACTTGGTATTATTATCATGAGAATTTGTGGCGCCTCCTCCTAAATATCGAAGACTAACTATTCATTTCTACCTCATTTATTTTAAAAAATTCCAATTGGTTAAATGTAAATTGGCTTTATGAATGTCATTAAATATTTGATAAAAGTTCAAAATTAATTGGGATATTGGCGGGAAAAAAATACACTTCGTGACATATTTATGAAAAATAAATACTTTCAATTAATTTTTTATTAAAGTGAGTTAACTATTTATTTCTTATAAAAAGATAAAGGGGAGTACGTAAATATATAAAAATCATGAATAATGAATTTTGTCTGCAGTTGTTGTTTTCCCATAGTAAGTTATAAAGGCAATGCAACTTCTTTTGACTTTCGCGCAGTATTTTTTGTTTTTTAGTTTAAAGTATGTACACTTTTGTTTTCCACCTTTTCTATATTTTTTCTTAATAAGATTAAATGTTAAAAAGACAGGTACAATTTATTTTTGGGAAAGAAGCCATAAGAGAGGTACAATTTCTTTCTAGGAAAAACAACTTTGGTTACATAAATAGTTAAAAAGACAGGTACAACTTATTTTGAGGGAAAAATTTTGGGAAACGGACAATAAATCGCCTTCAATTTATATAAATCATATTTTAATCTCTTAAAATATTATAATTTTATTAAAAGTTTTGGAGACTTTTTCATTGTTAATGAATTTATATAAATAATTAAATTATCATTATTGAAAATAAAATGATCACAAGTTTTATTTAAATAATCATAATATTCCTTCTTATATTTATAACAATACAAAAGTAAATTATAACTTCGTATGTCACATTTCTGATATTGCTATAAATGTTGGAAATAACAAATAATGATTACAAGTTTTATTTGAATAATTACAACTTTTTTTTATATTCGCAATAATACAATAGTAAATCACAATTTCGCATGTCAAATTCTCTATATTGCTATAAATTTTGAAAATAGCAAATAATGATCACAATTTTTTTCAATAATCATAGTCTTTCTTCTTATATTCGTAACAATGCAATAACAAATCACAAGTTCACAAATCAAATTCTCAATATTGCTATAAATGTTAGAAATAACAAGTATTGATCACAAGTTGTTTCAACAATCACAACTTTTCTTCTTATATTTGTAATAATGCAACAATAAATTACAAGTTCGCAAGTCAAATTCTTAATATTGTTATAAATGTTAGAAATAACAAGTAATTATCATAAGTTTTATTTAAATAAACATAATTTTACTTCTTATAGTCATAATAATATAACAGTAAATTATAATCTTGCATGTCAAATTCCTACTATTACTACAAGGACAATTAGATCATTTATATAAATTTATTAATAATAAATAGGTTCTCAAAAAATTCAATAAAATTATAACATTTTAAAAAAATAAATTATTATTTATATAATTCATAAGAATTATTGTTATTTTTCCAAAAAATTTTGGTTGCATAAATAGTTAAAAAGAAAGGTACAACAAAAATTTGCAGAGCACGAAATTTTTTGGTAAAATTATGAATAAGTCCCGAGCAAGATCCTCCCTCTCTTCTATTTTATTATTTTATAAAATATGTTTAAAGATGATTTGATATTTTAAATATATAAAACATTTTGAAAAGAAAGTTTCATGATGATAAAAAAGATAAAGGCAACCATTGAAAAATATTGCTTAATCTCCTTATAGGAAATACTGTACAGTCTCTCTTTTGCAGGTAGAAATGGATAACGAGAAACAAATGCACCTCACCCACCCTTAAAATATGCTAGAGCCAATATTTAAATTTAAATAATAAATAAATAATAAAAAAATCAACTCCCTACTTTACTCTTGACCTCCCTCTTCTTCTTCATTATGGAACTAAGTAAGTACTTAAAGCTCGTTCGGTAACTTCACTTTTAATTTTTTAAAAAAATATTTTGATACTTTTAAAAAGTTAAAAATTATTTAAATATAAAAAATGTAATGAAAGCAATTTTATGAATGTGTTTTGAAAAAGTTATTGAATGTAGATTTATCCAACTTAATTTTCCTTAACTTTTGAGATGTACTTTTCAAATGTAATTTATTAATTTATTGTATAATCATATTACCCTTGATTTTTCTATAAAAAAATTGTAGGTAATTTTTTGATAAATTGCATGTATAAATAACTAAACACACACTTATTGTGAATGTGGGTTAAGATAATTGAAATGTGAATTTGCTAATTTTATTTTTTGGTGAATTTGAAGTTGTAGGTTGGAGTTAAATTGTACTACTTTTATAAATAACCATAATACTCTCATTATGTTTTTTTTAGTATTAACTATATCCTTTTTATTCTTATTATTTAACATATTAAATTTTATGTTATTTAAAATTTTTTCATTTTTTAAACATTTTTAATTTATTATATTTATATAACAAAAATTACCAATTATCATAAATCAATTTTATTTTTTGTCATTGCATATCCAAAAGTATTTTAAAAGCATAAATTTTTATTAATCCAAGCAACTTTTAATTTGTCAAATTAATTTTTTGAAAAAAAATATATCCAAGTACAAATTTTGTTACAATGATAAACTTTTAACAAATTTAAAACCAAACACACACGTAGAGTTTCTTCTTTGATAGAGTGACTAAAATGGTGAAACTCCAAATTTGTCTCGTAGGCTCTACAATTTTGAGTGATGAAAAAGTTTGGTAAGACCATCAACAATTTGCAAGTCAAGTGGTATATATTGAACTGAAATGGTCTTTGACAAAACTTGATCTCACAAAATAAGCATCTATCTTGATGTGCTTTGTTCTAACATGATGGATAGGATTTGAGGCCAATGCTATTACACTTGTGTTGTCACACCATGTTATGGAACATGCTTGATTTTAAACTTCAACTCATATAAATGTAACTAATCCAACATAGTTCAGTAGGTGTGTCAACTAATAACTTGTAACATCCTAAACTTTTAATCTAAAAAATAATTACTGATTAAGGATAAATTACTAAATTAGTGGATTAATTGTATAATCATGGTTTTGGATGGTGAATTAACATTTTGAGCTATTGGACGCTTGTATGATCAATATCGAGTGAAAAAATTGCAATTTGGAGCAGAGTGTGTGAGCTACTATGATAATTTTCTAAACACATGCGTAATGCTCTGTGGTGTATGAAGCAAAATTTGGATAAATGACGCATGGCCCAGCTTGTGAGGAGGGAAGGAAAAAGGGAAAAGAATGACAATGAGGAGAGGAGGAAACATCTCTTTGCTAAGGCAAGCAGTCATGAATGCTTGAAAGTTTATTTCAACCTGTTGCTTACTAGATAAGTTTCACACGTTCCTACTCTCCTATTTCACCCTAATTTCTCTTAGTTTGAGATATAAAAAAAATTAGATTGGAGAGTTTTAAATGGTTGTTTACTGACCCTTTAGTTGTGAAAATATTTGTGGAAGTTAAACTAAGAAATTATGACTAGCTTAGTGATTAAAGATCAACCCAAGATATGTCCTCCTCTTTTGCAAGATAAACAACAATGAGATTGTATTCAATGTCTCAACTAGTAAGAATTTGAATTACCAAATCACTTTGAGAGATTGAATAGCTAGCAAGTATTAGATTATCGTAGATGTTTTTCATCTTAGTCAAACAATCTCCTGTCTAAAGGTTTTTCCAATTTTATTTTTATAATATAATAAAACCACACCACATTATCAATAGTTCATCTAATAAAATTGCATCAATTTAATTAAAAACAATAACAAGTTTCATTATTTTTAACGACTTTGTTTTTATAAGAGAATGCATAAATAACGCTTGTATGAATGTCAAAATCAATTTATATTTAATATCATCTAAATATTATGTTTTTATTATATAAATTATGAATAGTGTGGTGTACTAGATCTATTTAAAAATTTCTCATTATTCAAATTTTACATGTGGATTTATAATTCAACTTCCTATATTTACAAATTAACATTTTATATTTGTAAACTAACTTCCTAGACTGGTCAAGGGCCAATTTAATAATTTTCTAAGTGTAAACTTTGATAATTATCCACCTTCACTCAATCTTGAAACTGTTGGAGATTGTTGGAATCGAAAGGTAAATTTAAAGTCTGAGCCTTGCCAAGAACACTATCCTTAAGAGCTATTCTGTCACGCTAGATTGTTCACTGTAACACACCAAAAATTTTTTTTTTTAAATAATTTAACTCAACCATAGTTGGGTTACAGCCACCCAACACATTTTTATATCAATAATTTCGATATAAAATATTTTATAATTGGCTTCAACTTACACACTATAACATTTCAGATAAATTTTTACCTCCCACATGCCATTAGGCTAAATCACATTTGTCCATCCTTATACTCCCAACAAGTAAAATAAGCAATTTAGTCAATTTTCAACACAAGCCAGTTATTTGGCCTTATAATCATGCCATTTTAACCAATCCAAAGTAAACCAAATATTAAAATTACAGTCATCCAAATTGTACTAAAAATAGAAATAGTTTGAAAGGCATGATTACATTTATATATTCATATAATTGACAATAAACATAAAAAAGTCCTAATATTGGCAATATAACACATTATAAATCATAAATTAAATACCCAAAAGAGACAGTAGATCTATACCACTAAGCCTCTGGGACTCCTCCACGTGTCACTCTTGGCTCTTCTCCTGAAAATTGTTAACCACATAATGAGACTCAAAAGTCCCAGTAACCAAAGCCAATTTATGATAGTGTATACAAACAGTTAAGTGTGTGCTTACTAAGTGAGAATTAAAAATAATATAATTCCAACAAATATAAGAAATATTATAATAAACACAAACAACCATCCTTATATCCCTCCATTAACCTCGAGCCGTAGCCCTCACTCGGTACTAAATTACCCGGCCAAAGGTAGATTAGCCCGAGCCCTTACAAACCACCTATTGAGCTCCAATAGGGGCGTACCACGTGGCACATAAATACAACAACAATAGCAAGTCTCCCAACACCTCCCACAATAATTAAACAAATTCATAATAATATTGCACAATTATACAAT